CATGGCGACGCTGCGCCTCTCTGACTTGTGAAGAGGGGCTCTTCCTTCCGCATCGTGCGCGTGCAGGTCTGTGTTCGGGTTCGTTTGGCTCGCGCTTTACTCGTAATCGTCGTTCCATGGTGGCTCCTCTGCTTATATCAGCCGAAAGCGGCGTGGCCGGCCTTGCCGGGGCGCCATTGATGGGATGGAGAAGGGTGGGGATCATTTCTTCGAAGGCGTGCGCCGTGGGGCATTGGGACTGGACTGAACTAGGCTTAGGCGAAGTGTGGGGGGGGACGTTTGATCTTTGTTGTGGTGCAGGTGCTGCTGTGCTGGGGATTGAAGAAGAATTCCACCCGCAGAAGAAACGGCTCACGATGGGTGGATGGATGGATGTGTAGGTCCTCTCGTTTGAAGAGAGAACAGGTACACCACGTTGGGTCGCAGTGGAAGCCTCTCAGATCTTTGGTGGTATGGTTGCTGCATCATTGGCATGGCGATGGACGGGTAGCACCTGCCTGTGTGACATTACTACTTGCCTTTTTTTCTGGAGCCAGCCACAGCACGGCCAAGAGGCAGGCCGGGTTGGGGATCAGCGACAGTGGGCACCCCTAGAAACGCCGGAAAGAGCAGCCCAGCTGAAGTGGAACCTTGGGCTGCCCGTGCTGACGGAAGGATCATCTCGAGCCCTGTGGATGGCCACGGCTGCTGCCACTGCTGCTGCCGATTGTGCTGCTGCCTGGAGCTCAACCTGTATTTCGGATCCGAAAACACAGTCCGCCCCTGGGCGATACACGCACTGTGACCCCTCCAATGCTGCCAGTGCCACCAGTGTCACCGTCGAGGGGTCACCTTCAGGCGTACCAGCTGCGTGGGCTCAATCGTGGTGCTTCATTGGCAGCACTGACGCCCCCTCTCCAATGATCGACCCCTCGAGCATCAGCCACGACGACAGCTGCTTGCAGTGCCGAGGTGAGGCTTGACGACAGGGGTACGGGGGGCGGGGGGGGGGGGGGATAGCTCCAGCCGCCAGGGCACCGGGCGCCAGCTACCCACCTCCATGTACCTCCTTGGAGGTACCTACTTTCAGGGGCAGGGAGAGGGCCCCCTCGTCGGGCCGTCATTGGGGAAAGCGCGACTGACTAATTCACCTTCCACGACGACACCGATCGTCCGCACGTCACAATCCTGCCCTTCCCTCCCTCTCTCCCCCATTCTACCAATTTTTTCTCCTCTTCAAATATAACCTAAATCCCACCCCCCCCTCACCCCCCTTTCTATTCGGCTGGGCATTCTGGTGGCCAAAATAGGGGGCTCTCGTGGGGTCGCCCTTTGCCGTCGAAAAGGTAGCTTCCCCTTCCCGCCTCAGATCTCACATATCACCCCCGGACTCCCAACGCAACCGGCACCCTGCAGCTAGAAACAGAGACAGATTGAGACATTGCCGAACACGACATGACGTCCCTCAACGTCCGCCCTCCTTACTCCGATGCCGAGCTGCGTCAGCTCTACCCCCCGCAGGTTGAGCTACAACTAGTCCAGGTGCTCATGCGCCATGGCGAGCGCACCCCCGTCAACGCACGATTTCAGAACACCGGCCTGCATCCCTTCTGGCCCTACTGTCGTTCCGTCCGCCACCTTCGCGCCGCCCTCCTCGACCCCACCACCGACAGTTACACAGACCTGCAGTGGCGTCGACGCCTAGAGACCTTCGGCGCCAACGACGTCCCCATCACCGCCACCGGCCCCCGCGCCGAGCTTGACGATGTCTGTGACATGGGCTCCCTGACCGATCTCGGTCGTCAGACGACTTACGACCTCGGAACCCGCCTGCGAGACCTCTACGTCGACCGACTCGCCTTTCTACCGGCTACCATCACCGACGCCGACCACCTATACCTGCGATCCACCCCCGTGCCCCGCGCTCTCGAGTCCCTGCAGCAAGCCTTTACCGGCCTATACCCCCCCTCCGCCCGCGCCGCTGCCTTCCCTCCGCCCACGATCCTCACACGCACCGCTCAAGATGAGACGCTGTTCCCCAACGATTCCAACTGCCGCCGCTTCGCCGCCCTCGCCCGCGCCTTTGCCCAGCGGACCGCGGACCGCTGGAACACCACGCCCGAGATGGACTACCTCAACAAGAAGCTGGCCCAGTACATGCCACCCGAGAGCCCACGCGTCCAGGTCGACTCCCACCCCCGCCTGTCCGGCATCATGGATTCTATTAACGCGACTCGCGCCCACGGACCTGCCACACGCCTGCCCGCCCCCTTCTACGACCCCAAGGTCATTGAGATCATCGAGCGTATCGGTGTTGAGGAGTGGTACAGCGGGATATCGCGAGAGCACAGGAATACCGTACACTTGGCATTGGTGGCCTCATGGGTGACGTCGTAGCCCGCATGTCGGTTCCGCAGACAGTCCGCTGCTGATGGCAACTATGAGCTCGTCCAACCTTCCGGCTCCTCCTCCTCGCCGGGTTCCTCCAACGGCTCCGCCCCGTCAAGTTCGGCATAAGTGGCTGCCACGACACAACCCTTGCTGCTATCCTCACAAGTCTCGGTGCTTTTGGCACTGACAAGTGGCCCCCCTTCACGAGCCACATCGCCATCGAGCTCTTCCGCGACTCCCGCCCCAAAGATGCTGTGCTTCCCACAACGCAAACGCCCCCGGTGGTCAAGTCTACAAACTGGTTCACATCCCTCTTCAGCTCCGCCTCAACTCCTGGGACTCCCCCTCCGGGCATCGGCCGCACACCGACCGAATCCCTCACGACCGCTGAGCGCGCCAAGCTCGATGGTACTACGTCCGCCTCCGTTATAACGACGAGACGGCACCGTACCCGGCTGCCGCGCTCAGGGAACCATCTCCCCGGCGACGAGACGCTCTGCACGCTGGACGTACCCTACATTGCCCCTCCCCGAAGCTGAGGGGCGATGAGAACCATAATGACAAGAAGCTTACAATCCTTTCCAGGCTGCGTTCAAATCTGTCGTCGACAAGTTTACACCCAAGGACTGGAAACAAGAGTGCCGCCTCAACGCCAAGGCCATTGTCTTTTCGGAGAAGGTCGAGCCTGCCGGATATTAAATGTGTGGCCATCGCGGTGTTTCTTTCTGCATCTGATTACAGGCGTCGGCCAGATTTTTATTTGTCCATGCAAGCTGCAAGGTAGAAGGGAGACCTCCATGAGATAAAAACGTCGTTCTAGCGATTCAGGGTAGGTTGGCTATCCATGTATGTTCCAAGAAGAATATTCATCCCATGGTTGAGATGCTGCTCGGTCTCATGTCACAAGTCAGGGCTCGCTCAAGGCCAGACACGACACATGTGTCCCGTATGCCCATGACTGTAGACCGCCACTCACGTCTGTGCTGTCTGTACTGCTGAGAAAAGTCTCCTCCGGCAGACGTCAGCTTCACACAATATGACAATCGGGAGATAAATAAGCTTTGCAGGCGGGTTTCCCGCTTCGTTAATCTCTATTCAGGTACCTGGTCGATCCATGCCCCGAAAATCCACGCCCCCCCATGGCATCGATTTCCCGCTGGATGCCCTCACCCACGACCTCCGTGTCCCGCTCGCCGAGTTCGTCCCACATACCGACCACCAGGCACCTCCCTGGTGGCAAATGCCCCATCTACACCATGTACGTATGGCGACGGCAAAACAAAGGGGCCGGCGATCCAACATGATACATCGAAGGTGAGGGGAAAGATTATACTAGGTAGACGGAGACAAGAAAAAAGCATCCTAAAGAATTCCAAGTGGAGAAGAAGCTGAACAGAAGAGAAGTCGAAGCGAAGGAGTGAATAGACCAAAAAAAAAACATCTCGATTGAAAACCCAATTACAAGGAATAGAGCGATCTTGTCCTCTTTCTTCATGTTCCTGGCGCGCGAGACAAGAAACAACACCCAGGCAGTCTGATTACATCCCCGACTTAGTTGGCAACCTCCTCCTCAACCCAGCCATTCAGGCCGCCCTGGAGGCCGAGGCCGTATCCGGCACCCATACCGCCGTAACTGGCCTGGTATTGGTGTCCACGACGCTCACCCTCGTTGCCGGGGATGCTGTTGGGCGTCGGCGCGCCGTTCTCAAAGCCAGGCGCCAGAACAGGCAGGCTGACGGCGCGGCTGTGCTGGCCACGGTTGTTGGGAGCCAAAAGACCGCCAATGGTGGTAGCGCCAGAGCTTGTCACATTGCCCGGATAGCCGTTCGAGATGCTGGCAGACTGCTGGTGGCCAGATGAGGGACCCTGAGGAGGGCCATCGAGCGTCACATCGTTCGGCGACGACTGAGCGGTACCGAACAGAGCAGCTTGCTGGGCAACAAGCTGGTTATGTTGCTGGTGCTGTTGGTGCTGTGCCTGATGGGACACTTGGCTGAGGTACATTGTCAAGGGGTTGGCGCCGTTGAAGAGCTGGGGTGGGGGCGAGCCGCTGTTGGTGGGCGAGTTGCCGTTCTGGGAACCAACAGGAGGAGGGGAGGGCACGCCGGCGGGGATGCCCTCGCTGCGAGGCGACTGGGCCTGCTGCTGCTGAAGCTGACGAGGAGGGTTGCCACAACGATCCTTGCCAAAGTTGACCTTGAACTTCCTGTACTCCTCCTTGCTACGCACAGCCTCGATGGCCTTGATAGCGTTGGCAATGTTGGTGAAGTTGACGAAAGCACAGCTCTTTTCACGCAGCGCGTTGACCAGCTCGATCTCGCCAAACTCGGAAAAGTCCTGCCTCAGGCGTTCCTCAGTCCACGTCTCGTCGAGATTTCCAATGTACACGTTACGCGAGGCGCCGCCACTGACGGCCAGGGCAATCGCCGGAGGGAGGCCACCCGAGTGCTTGCCCCAGCCAATCTTGAGCCTACGGTTGTGAATCATCAAGCCCTGCAGGTTGCTGAGGGCATAGAAGGAGGCAGCAGCGGTGGGGTCGATGAAAGTGACAAAGCAGATGTGCTTGTCGGGGATGTAGCGGATGTGGTGCAGAAGACCGCCACGAACGACGTTGCAAATCTCCTCGATAGTCGTCTCCGGAGTGAATGTTGCCCAAGTAGATGGTGCGGTTGCCGAGGTTGGCAATGCCACCCGCGGTGGTGGCAACGGCGGCCGCAGCCACGGACTGCTGGGCCAGAGCGCTGGAGATGAGGTCGCGATCAGCTCCAGTCAGCATGTGAGCATAGCCGGGAGCAATGCCCAGATACTGGGCGGCGTTCTGCTGCTGCGTCTTGGAGACATAGGCACAACGGTCCTTGCCGTAGTACACACGGCGTGGGGCCTGCCACTTGGGCTCCTGGGGGAGCTGTACCACCGCCTTGATGGCGTTGGAGATGGAAAGGAAGTGGATAAAGGCAATGCTCTTCTCGCGGACAATCTTGACAGTGTCGATGGCACCAAACTTGCCCAGGTCCTCACGCAGCTCCTCCTCGGTAATGTCTTCGGGCAGATTGCCGAGGTAGACGTTGCGCGAGGCGCCGGACTGCTGAACGGCGAGAGCCACCGAGGTGGGCACCTGGGAGGGCTTGCCCCATCCGACCTTGATATCCTGGCCCTTGATGCAGAGCTTTTTCAAGATGGCATCAGAATGGAAGTGGGTGGCGGAGCTGGCGTCTAGGAAAGAGATGAAGGCACAGTTCTTGTCGGGGAGAAGACGGACGGACTCAATCTGTCCGCTCCTGACGTGGCCCAGAATTTCCTCGGCCGACGTCTCGGGAGGAATATTGCCCAGGTAGACGGTACGGCTGGTGCCGGTGACGATACCGGGAGTCATGGACACGGGAGAAGTGGGCTGCTGCAACTGCATCTGCTGCATGCCGCCGAAGCCCGAGGCCGTGGGCGACTGAGGCGCGAAGTACTGGGGTGCGCCGTAAGTCGAGGGCGAAACCATGGCCTGATACTGCTGGGGCGACATGTTCTGGAGCACGGGGCTGGCAAGTCCGTTCTGGTGCTGCTGGTGCTGGTGTTGCTGCTGGTGATGCTGCTGCTGTTGCTGAGGCTGCTGGAAACCCTGCATCTGGAACTGGGGGCTACCAAAGGCGCCAGGCGTGCCAGGCTGGAAAGGGCTTCCGAGGAGCAGCTGCGAGGGTAGCAGAGGAGTGAACTGCATGTCAAAAGCAGTGCCAGGAGTGGCCATGTCGGCGGCCGTGTTGGGGACATGCTGCTGCTGCTGCTGCTGGAATTGCTGCTGGGGAGCCATGGTCTGGGTGTTGATGGTGGGAATGTTGCCACGACGAGGGTGTCTGTCGGCGAAACCCGAAATGTTGGAAGTGAAAGCGCCGTGAGAGAAGCCAGTATCGCTGTTGGAAGGCTTGGAAACGTGCCCGGGGAATCGTCCGCTGGGGGCGTGTCCGGCCTGCTGGCCGGCTCCCGAGAGATCCTGCATGATCAGGTGGGCAGGGACAAGACTGTCCCTACTCTGGTGAGAGAGGACCGCCGTGGTGAAGACGATGCGTGCCTGGTTCAAGGCACGACGAAGAAAGATCTGGATATGTAGGGGGGCTCCAGGCGTTTGTGATGGTTTGAGAAGCAACGAAGCAAGCAACTGGGCTGGATCAACGGTCTGGGTCGATCAATCGAAATGTAGGTAGAGCGAGTGTCGGGTATTGTGGTATACGATTCGGTGCAGCAAAGAATAGCTCGGCTTGGCAGACCAGTCTTTGTCGGAACAATGAAGCGGAGGCAGAGGAGGGATGGGAACGAAGCTCTCTCTTTTCCTTTGCCGCTGGACTGGTCGAATCGGGTCAAAGAATTATAAGTAGAAGTATACAGAGGCAACGAGTGTAAGCAAGCTAGGGAGAACGTCCACAGAGCTTGGGGTTGGCCGGGGCCCGGCTTAGGATGGCATAGGCAAGTTTGGTGCAAAAGGTAAGGTAAGCTCGCGAGGGCGACGTCGAGGTCGGATGAAAGAATAAAGAAGAGAAAGGGAGCAGCGAGGCTCTCAGAATGTAGAGGGCGCTCGAGCAAGAGAGGGACGAAGGAGGAGGGGGGAGAGGTCGGTGAGCGGAGGAGGAGGGGGGAGGAAAAGAGGAGGAGGAAGAAGAAGTAGACCAGAGATGAGAGAGAGACCCAATGCGAGCAGACAGGAAAAGACGAGATGGGATGGGGATGGATGGGACGGACGGGAGGAGCCTGTAAGAAGGAGAAGGAGGTACCCTGGCAGCCCTGGGCATCCACACTGCACATCCACTCCTGCTCCAGGTTCACACCCTACCTTGCCTGTCGCGTTTCTGGCCGACCCTGCGTGCGTGCCGTCCGTTCAGGAAGAACGGGGAGCTGGTGCTGATGCTCGTGCCGGTGCTGGTACAGGGGGGTGGGCGGTCGAGGTACGGGGGCAGCACCTAGGCGGGTAGGCAGTAGGTAGGCTCCTCAAGGTAAGGTAGGCAAGGTAGGTAGTGGGCGCACTGAAAGCCGCGCCATGGGCGTTGGCTCCTAGGCACAGGTCAGTAAGGTAGTGGTCGTGGTGGTGCTGCAGGCCTGGTGGCAGCTTCCGGGTTGTCGTGGTAGTGTCGACGGTAGACTGCCTAAAGGGGACGTGGCTCGGATTGGTTGCGCGCTAAAGTTAAATGAGCCCAGTCAAGGATTGCTTTGGTGGGCACTTCCTCACGTTTGGGGGAGTATGGTACGGGCAAAGGCGCCCAAGGGGGGGGCCAGTGGAGGTCCTAGGTACCGTACGTAGGTACTTGGTAACAGGGTGCTTGAAGGCAGGTTCGAGAGAGCTCAACACGGGGCTGTACTCCGTCGCCTACATGCGGTGGACAGATACATGGGTAGCTGTCGTGACACGGCTCGAACAGTAGACATTGGGCCGTCAGTTTGGTACTGACGGGCGCCTTTCTGCTTCTTTCTCTCTCCCCCTCCCCCCCATCGGGCAACCCGGTTCCTGCGTCGCCTTCACTGCATTTGTCTTCCCTGTCTTAGCTACCGTACCGCAACGTACGTACCGCTGGAAAGGCAAGGTCCCTCGATTCGACGTCGATTCTTTCATCGGCCAGCCAGCCCGAGGAATGCTCCGAATTCCCTGCTGCCTCAACGTCGTGACGAGCCGTCGATGGGCGACCCAGCCTCCACAAACCATCCAAAGGAACCAGAGCTCGGCCGTCAGCCTTCCCAAAAAGAGACCCTCAAATGTGAAATGACGGGCTGGAAACCTTTTTTCGCTGCATGGAACATCCCACATCGCAGCCCCTGTCCTGCCATTGGTCGACCCCTATTGCTACCGCACCACCACCCCCATTCCCCTTTCCAAGCCCACTCCACCACCCATGATCCCCTTTTCCCCTCTGGCCGCTTCACACAAAAAAAGTATGCACTTACCGTGGGCCATGTGCCGCGTTAACGCAGGTACCCTGAGCCCAGGCCCCCTCCTCTCCCCCCTTCTCCACTGAACGGGCTGGGCCTGTCACGGCTCGCCCCATATGCTCTAGATGGAGAGATCCATTGACCATTCCAGTTACCGTGGCATTGTCGGCCGCCAACACGCCCCTAGCGCGAGCCCGACGTCAATCAATCTTCTGGGAGTACGAGATCTGATCCGTACCATGTCTGTCCGTCCATACTGCCTGCCGCTCAGGGGCTGGAGCCCGGTCTGATGAGGCTTTGTGTGTCTCAGAGCCACCTCCCTTTCTGCTAAAGAACATGCCATTCCATCATTCTGCCGTCTTTGCATCTGGGCTCCTGTCCCCATCGGACAGGCAGCCGATCGACCCGACAGCCGTAGACATGGTCTCACGGCGAACCGTTAACCGCAGGGACTCGCACTACGTTGCACAATGCAACAGAGAACATGACCAGGCCCTGGGTG